AGACTGTCCCGGGCTCTGGACTTCGGGATTTTTAAAACCTGCCCTGGGTGATTCTGCTGCTCTCCCCAGGTCAGAATCACTGAGATGCCAATAGCGACACCCAGTAAACGGGGAGAAAAGCAGGGATGAGCGCGTACCTCCAGGTCTGATTCAGATGGCTTGGCTTCTTTCCTCTCTTCATCCGTCTCCTTCTGTGACATCACATTAATCTGCTCTTCTGGGCTCATAGGTCTGCTTCCTGGGGTGCTCATCACCACCTTCTTTCTGGATGAAGAGGTCGAGGTGTTGCCGGCCGACTTGGCCCTGGAAAGAAGACACGGCTCAGCCCCTGGTTCGTGCAGAGGCTCTGAGCCGTCCGCCCTTCTTTCTCCAGCCACACGAGTGTCGTCCTGCATCAGAAGCCCCTGCTCCGTGTCGTCTACAGCAGGCTGTGTAGTCAGTGATGACCTCTAATGTGGAGCACTGCAGAGGCATGTTAGCACTGGCTTGCTCAGTTGGTTAATTTATTTTTATTTAGAGTCTAACATTTTTTTTTAGATAAAGGGGATTTGTGGAAAAACGCCTATTGGTTACTGGGTGTCCGGGAATGCTCTGAAGCCGAGGAGAGCATGGCTTTAGCAAGACCACAGCCTTTTCTGGTTCAGCCTGGTGTCCTGAAATCCCTTGCACCCTCAGGGACACCTTACCTGGTGGAATCATCTTTGTTTCTGGAGGGGAACTTCATTTTCTTCTTGCTGGGCTCTGATGAGTCTTTTGGTGCTAGAATAGTGTAGAAGAAAGACATCAGTGATGGGCAGTGGCCTTGGGTCATCCTCTGTCCACAGGGACATGACTCTCAGGACTGTCCAGGAGCATACTAAGGGGGTGGACTTGGTGCGGTGGGATGAGGCAGGAGATGTGGGTTCTGGTCCCACCTGCACCAATAATTACCTCGGTGACCCTGAAGAAGTGACTTCATCACTCCAGGCCTCAGCTTCCTCAACTGTGAAATGGGGATGAGCACACTGTCCATTCATCCATACATTTGACAGATGTTAGTAACTGCTACTCGATTCACTCTCCAACCCTGTTGCTCTGTTTTCTTAAATGTCAGGTGTTTTATTGTTTCATGTTTTTCTTTAAATAGACTCAGACTTTTAAACTTAATATATTTATATTAAAGGGAATATTATATGGTTATCATAAATTTAAAAAAAACAGTATTATTTGCAATAAATAAAAAATGTTATCATTTGCAATAGAGGGTAACTACAAATAAATTTTAGTAAGTGACATAAAATTCGACTATTCAACTTAAGTTTTTAGCCTAAGGAAATTAACAAATAATAGAGAAATGTTAACAACATACTAATATTAAATCGACATTCTGAGAGAATCAAAGAGAACTGAGGGCTCAAGATGTATTTCGAATTCATACTTGAGGCTCCTCAACCTACTCCAGATATAACAGTAATAGACAAAATACTCTTTAAAAATTATAAAAAAACATTGCTCCAACATACATCTAACAAGAATTACTAAAGGATACCCTTAAACAGATATATGTGTGCCGGGTGGGATTAAATAAATTAATACATAAAAAGTACTATGGTCAGCAGCTTCCAGGATGGCCCCCAATGACCTCCACCTCCTGGTCCCGTGCCCTTGTGAAATCCCCTTGAATGTGGGGTTGGAAACTCACTCCTAACAAACAGAATATGGCAAAAGTGATGTCACTTCCAAAACTAAGTTCCAAACAGACTGTGGTTTCTGTCTCGCTGGCTCTCTTCCCTCTCCTGTTCCCTCTGAGGGAAGCCAGGAGTTAGGGCTGCGCCATCGAGAGGGCCACGTGGCAGGAAACTGATGCCTGTGGTCAACGGGCAGTGAGGACCCGAGAACGTGAGTGAGCTTGGAGGAGTATCCTTCCCTAGTGACCTTTACATGACTGTGGCCCTGGCTGACACCTTGATTGCATGCTTTTGAGAGACTGAGCCGAGCCACCCAGTTAAGCCATGCCCAGATTCCTGACCCACAGAAACTATAAGATGTTAAGTGGTGGTTGTTTTAAACTGTTAACTTTTGGGGTAACTGGTTATACAGCAATCAATTAGCACAACTGCATAGAGAACAGTCCTTGGTGCACTGTAACGCAGGTTCGTGGTGTGTGGTAAATGTAAGGTTAGCCATTACAATGATTCCCATTTCACAGATGAGAAGACTGAGGCTTGCTGAGGTTAGCTGCAGCAAGAGGTGAAGCCAGGACTACAACCCAGGATTACAAATCTCCCTCCAAGACCCCATTCTGCCTCAAATACCTGATGGCAACTCCTGAGTGATCCTTTCCCTAGGGACACTGATGGTGACCTGCTGGTAGACCTTCAGCAGGTCCTTCAGCTTCAGGTCCTTAGCGTTCAAGGAGTAATTGTTGGCAATGGAATCGCTGGGTCCACGGTGGTGGTGCTGCTCTTTGAAGGGTGCAGCCAGGGTCCACGATGTGCGTTGCATCAAGGGGGGATAAAAGCTGTGCGACATGACAGTCTACAAGGGAAGGCACGCAGAGTGAGACGCAACAAGAGCCAAGAGCCATCTCTTGCGGATGGCCCTGGCCAGTGTGGCTCAGTTGGTTGGGCATTGTGCCATGCACCAATGCCCAGGTGCCCTGCCATGCACCAATGCCCAGGTTTGATTCCCTGTCAGGGCACATGCCCGGGTTGTGGGCTTGATCCCCAGTAGAGGGCCTGGGCCCGGAGGGGTCCCTGCTATATTCTCGCTGAGACTCAGGGAGTCCCACGTGCCTTATGCTGCTCCTAGCTTCTGCAAACTCACTGCAAATACTTTCTGCATGAACGCCAACTGTACGCCTCTGACTACTGCCAGTGTGATTTCTGAAGTCAAGGATAATAGTGAGCTTTCGATAAACAGTGAGTTTGTGAGTCAGGTAATTGATTTCTATGGTCTTTATTCCTTGCGGACATGGCTATAAAGTAGAAATAATTACTCTCACTTTACAACTGAAGATGAAGAAATCCAGAGTTTAATTACACAGCAGGTAGGTGAGGGGGCCGGGTTCTCACCCACCTCTGTGCTCCTGCATAGCTCTTTCTCCCTCACTGCTGCAGCCTTTCCCGGTTACAGAAATGACCAAGGCCCCTAATCGCACTTGTCAGTCTTGACTGCCTGCCCCCCACTAGTACTGGCAGGGGACTAGCAGCCAGGTGAGCAGACCTGATAGACTTCAGACGGCTCCTCGTTAGCAGAAGCAGGCAGAGGGGGCAGCTCGGGCCGCTTCTGGCAGTGGCTCATGTGATGTATCGAGTCAGTTTTGGGAATCTGTGGGAAATGGGAGCAAAGTCACTCTTTGGGAATTAGGAAAGATTCCCAAGCCTCTAGGTTGGTGAGGAGCAAAGAGATCCCCAGGAACATTTCAGGGGATCTGCCACAAAACACTTTTGTCATCTCCATCCGTTGCGTAGGTCTCATTTTTCATCATCAGTCTGTCTTTCTGCCAGTGCCTCCTCCTTGGCTACACCTCTATGAGCAAATGCAGATATTTTTTTCCCCGGGGAAGAGCCCATATTCTAAGGGCACCCCAAGCTGCCCTACCCTGGGTTGTGATTAAAGGGGTTGTCTTTAAAAAATACTCTTGCGTTTCACATATGCAAAATTCCAAATAGAAATTTACTCATGCGGTAGCATTATATGTTACGTGTGTTTAACATAGCAACTCTATGCTTCCTGTAGAAAAAAATATCACCCGAACATGTGGGTGTTGGAGTCCACCATTCCTTTCAGTGAGTGTGTATTGGGAGTAAGCCTCGGGTGCACTCTCAGTTACCAAGTGCCTCCCCCTAGCAGAGCTGAAGTGACGGCAGTGTTGCCAGATGCTGTGTGTGCTTCTGTCCTACAGTCCAGCCCCTATGTGCAGGACAACTACTTTATCTGGGGCAGTGACTGAGACACTGCATCTTCTTCCAGCACTGCAGGAAAACTTCTGGGCTGGACTTACTGAGAGGCGTTGCTGTTCAGCACATTAAAAATAGTTTAAGAGTGTGGCTCAATTGGTTGGGTGTCATCCCATGCACCAAAAGGTAGCCAGCGGGTCCAATTCCCAGTCAGGGCACATGCCCGGGCTGCAGGTTCAATCCCCAGCAGGGGCCTTGCAGGAGGCAACTGATCTATGTATCTCTCTCACTTCGATGTTTCCCTCTCACTTCCTCTCTCTATAAAATCAATAAAAAATAGTTTAAGGGATTTTCAAGGGCAATTTTGACTTTCTGTGATTTTTCACCTTAGGCAATGACTTTGGACTGAACTCCTGTGTAATATGAGACATTATTAGATTGATTTGATTTATCTGGATCAGCAAATTATGTCATGCGGAGTAACTGGCAATGGGTAGTGGAGCCAGGAATATATACATCAGGTGTTGGCCACCCCCATTCCCCAGCCAACCCCTCACTGATAACTAAACCTTGCAAAATAATAACAACATCTACCATTATTTCAAATTATTATGTGCAGAACACTTATGAGAATTTTTATACTCATGTTCTAGCTGAAGAAACTAAGGCTCAGAGAGGATAGGGAATACATGCTAGCCACACAGAGGTGCTTTTAAATGCACATCACTCCATATCCCAACACACTGGAAACAGTATTACTTACACAAAAATTCCTTTAGGAATGTGTTGATCTTAAAAATAAACAAATGTGCAAACCCATAAACAAAGATGCCTATCGAGCCTGGGATCTTTAAAAACAGTCGTTTTCACTGATCCAATGGCCTCATTCGGTGGTTCTCAAAAATGGTGGCACCAACCAACAGGGCTTTATGAAACATGGGGATTCTCAGGCTCTACCTCAAACATGGTGAGCTTGAGACCCATGGACTCTCTTGTTAATCAGCTAAGAGAACTTGCTTTGTTGGCTTAAATCACTGTCCATCTCTCTGCTCTTGACCTTGGTTTGAAGGATCTAAGAAATGAGCAATCATCTCCAAGAACCCTCTCTTTCATTACTGAAATGAAGATCTGCACTGATGAGGTAAATAAAATGGAAACATCCCAGCACCAACTTGAAAGAAGCCGGGTCTTCCCAAGCAGGTACTAAACTATCCAGGTGGGTTTGGGCAGTAGTACTTGCAGGGATATGAAGTCATTCATGGATTCCTTCAGGGTCCCAGACGTACAACAGATACTGATGGATCAGTTAGGGTTTTCTGTATTTTGTCCTTGCAACCAAGGTTTTGTGGTCAGTGAAAATCTTTCCCTTGGCCTAGCTTTTAAATCTGTTTCAAATAAACATCTTCATTAAAAGAGAAACATGCAAACACCACTTACAATGTGCCTCTGGGCACTTCAGGTATGGCCACCTAGTGGGTCTTGGCTCTTACAGTGAGATTCTGGCACCTGGATTGGTAGAACTGTTACTTTCATGTGAATTATTTCTGACTACATGTGATGTTTGCATGTCCTCCAGAGAAGCCATTCCCTGAAGGACCCGCTATAGCAGAGTCACTCCAGTCTTAGCTAAAAGGAGACTCCAGAGCCATACTCCACACCTTCTGGATCAGCATCTTTGGGAATGAAGCAAAGTCTCTATGTTTTAAGACACTCCCCAGGATATTCTGATATGCAGCCAGTCTTGGAAACTGTGGGGTGGAATATATGGTCCAATGACCTTAAAAGTGTAGGGAAGGAAACAACAGGAAGATTGGACTAAAACTTGAGGATTGGACTAAAAAAAGCCTAATTCAGCAAAAAGCATATTTCAAAGGACACAACATAAAAATGTGATTAGCACACGTGCTCAGTCAAGGAATCTAACACAGCAATCAGTCTATGATCAAAACATCCCTTTCCCATCCACTCCCCAATTCCTTGTGTGTTGAAAATATGGCTTAAAAAAAAAGAAAACACCTTAAAAATCATACATACCTCTGGAAATGAGCAGTCCTTGTCATTCATGTTGTATGTTCTAATTGAATCTATTAAAAAATGAAAAATGAATAAAGAGTTCTCAGTCTCTTCCTCTCCTACCAGTGGCTCCGAAACTCACACTTCCTTAGAGCACAATGGGGATGACACAGAAAATGGAACCTTCCCAATGTTCTGAACGCTCTGTTCATAGGGCTGCCTCTCTGAGGTCACACACTGCAGCCCCCTGAAGAGTTCCCTGGTAGAAGAGGAGAGAAAGGGAAGCTAGAGAATAAAGAGGCAGCATTGGGATTCTGCTCGGCTTTGGGCTGTGGTTCCAGCTCCCCTAGCAATGGCCACTCTTCCTTTCCACCCAGCTGCTCCTCTTGGATCTTTGCCAGGAACACACCGAGTTCACTGGAAAAACGGAAGCAGAGTTATAAATTAAAACAGAGCACAGGGAGGAAGCACCCCCCAAAACAATATCCCCAGCAGCCTGAACTCTTCCCTCTCCTCCCCCCGGCTGCTTTAGCATTGGAGGTGGTGTAGCCAGGCTGCTGCGTCTGTTGCTAAGGAAGGAGAGGCCTCTGCTGTGCCCAGATACAAGACTGGGCTTGACTTTGCTCAGTGTCCTGGTGTCTCCCTTTGCTGGAGGTTCAGCCGGGCAGGAAACACAGTGACAGCAGGGAAGATGAGAGGGTGTTTAGGAATGCAGAGGCGAATGGCATTAAGGGACTTAGCATTTGGGGTAAACAACAAAGAATTTTTTAGTATAAGTCTGTCCCATTCAACAGTTGAACATACTAATATTAAAAAGTTATGCTTACCTGAAATTGAAATTAAACTGGGTGTCCTATATTTTTATTTGCTAAATCTGGAAATACGGAGAAAAGAGGTCCACTAGGGTCTAGGTTGTCCCCATCTCGGTGGTGTGAACAGTTTAGGGTCTCTACCTATTGCTGGAAAATTTTCACACAGTCCTATTCAGAGCCCAGCGCTCCTGGCAGGTCTGTCCTGAGGCCTGAGGTAGCTGCTTAGCCAGGATAAGTAACTGAAAAGACATAGAAAAGACTGCACATGGATTTGTTTCACTGACCCATCAAGTGATCATCAACCGCCACGTCCTAATGCTGTGGAGAGATGCTAAGATTCCAGTCATCGGGGAATAAATAATGTGTTGGAGGAGGCAGCTGACACACAAGGAAAAGCGAAGCCTGGCTGGCCCTCCAAAACTGGCAGAGGTGGGAGGAATTAGGGAATTCACAGAGGCGCCCCTAGATGGCATCCTTGAACAAAAATCTCAATGAAAGCCCCAATTCAGCCTTCTGACACAGCACCCACCAGGGAATAATGGTTGTAAAGTATTGTTCTAAAACAAAACACACAAAAACCCTTTCCTGAGTGGGACACCCACCATTCTCCAGCCACCATTAGCTCCCGTTTTCTCGGCTGTTGTGGAGCTAGAGTGTGATCCCTTAGCTTATTATTATCATTATTATTCCAGCTTGTTTTTCTATCCACCAGCCTGATTACTTCTAGAAACACGAGTTGGTAGAAGTAATACCATCACATATTTTGGAGCCTATGTTTCAGCTAGGTGCTAAGTTCTTTACAGCCAGTCCTCACGGCAACCCTGTGGCTGCTTCCTCTTCGCCTAAAGTTATTTTCCAGGGTGCTATGGGCACAGGCCACAGAAGAGATGTAAATCAACATCGGTCCCAGGATGGAAAGTGCCTGAGAATCAACCATTCGCAGGCCAGCTCTCAGGTCTATCATTTTACAGATAAAGCTGAGGCTCAGAGAGGTCACTCACCCAAGGTCAGAGAGTGGGAGTCAGCCCTGGGAGCAGAGCCCAGGAGTGCCCCCCGCAGCCCATGGTCTTTACCAGTGTGCTCTATGGCAGTGGTTCTCCACCAGGGATGGTCGTGCCCCCCAGGGGACATTTGGCAATGCCTGGGGACATTCGTGGTTGTCTCAGCTAGGGGGAAGGGGAGTCCTAGTGGCATCTAGTGGGTCGAGGCCAGGGACGCTGCTCATCTTCCTGCGGGACAGGCCCCTCAACACAGAACTTCCCAGCGCAGGGAGTCGCTGGCGCTGCGGGAGGGCTGGGGAGGCCCGGGGGCGTGTCCTGGCCCTGCCCGGGACCCAGGACGTACTTGGCTTAGACTCTCATCTATGAAAAATGGAGATACTCACCCACTCTGCCTTTAAGGCTCTCACTAGCTCATTACGCTCGCATTTGAGACTGTTAAAAGCCTTCCAGCTGAAATCCTGCCTCACACACCCTGAGCTCGAGATGCTTCCAGAGGAGCTGCGTGTCCACCTGCCCCAGCGGTGGCCTGAGCGCTCTCGCGTCGCCAAAGGAGAGTATATTAAGGGCAACTCTGTGAGCCAGCCTCCCCTCCTGGGAGCCTCTCGGGGCTTGTCCGGGGGGTTGCAAAAGGCTGGCGGCTGGGGGGCGCTACTGCGCTGCCAAAAGCCCTGAGCAGCCGCTCCG